TGTGTGTGTGTGTGTGTGTGTGTGTGTGTGTGTGTGTGTGTGTGTGGAGGGAGGAGCATTGACGGTAACAAACATGTCGGTGTCTCATTACCTGTAATGTGATCTCACATCCTATGGCCAGTCACACAGTCATGCCCGTAGCACAAGTTGGGAAACCCCCTTTACCACATTGCACTAATACTGCATGTTATAACGCATTATGTTGTTATGCTTTATGTCACACACAATTACGGATATTACATGTACACCTGGTACTTGATTAGTGAACCATTTTAATACAATAGCCTTGATACTAACTTATAAACCTTGCGTCTTTTTTTAAATCTGAAAACAGATAATGTTGGCACAGAGGAAGGGAATTATTGTGAAAATCTGTTTTCAAAACAAAATAGCTTTTTTTAAATTCTGACGATTATGGTCAATTGGCAACAAGAAACGTTAATACAAATCTAACGTTAAATCTGTGAAGAAGCACGTTAAACTAGACTCGGACCTGCGAAGCACCTGCACAACGCCTTCTGTCGCCACGCCCCTCACATGTTAAATGTCCGCCACCTTTCAACTTCCCATCACCGAGAGCGAAATTTAACGAGCCGGTTGTTGTTCTGCATCAGAACGAACCCAATACCTGTCTATGTAGTCCCACTTTTAACTCGACTATCCTTAATTTTGTCTTTCTTTTGGGGCGGTAGCGTCATGTACCGTTACATAGGGACATGGTTTTGTGCCGGGGAGGGGGGTGCTGTTAATAAAACACAACGTATGAAACCGCCACTGAACGCCCGTTAATTATCGTTTAAAATGATAAGTGTCCGTTACTGGTAACCGTTAGTTAACGTTAAGCAGCAGCGAGCACGAGCCTGTCGTGACAGCACTGGTGCTATAGCTATATCTAGCTAACTGGTCTCTACAACAACCGCCATTTTGTACCTTTTGCATTTGACATCGCCATAACAACGGCCTGCTTGAGTATGCATCTGTGGCTGCGTCGTCATGGCAGACACAATCCAGTGTCACTGGAACGAGTAGCGGGCAGAAAACGACCCCATTCAGGACACACACGCGACTGATTTATCAATAGCTTGCAGGCTAACCTCGGCTAACCGTTGCCTGTTATGGCTACTGAAACAACATGGGAGAAAAAAAGCAATAGCACAATTCAGTTGAAGCATTATTGGACATAAAATATTCCCTATATGTAAAGAGCGTCACCTCTGTATCCACGTGTGTATTTCCCACCGGTTAAATGTCTTCTTTTATATTTTTTTATGGCGGATTCAGTTGTTGTTGTTGTTGATTCTCGTTGCTGGGTTCTTGTCGCCAGGGCTACCGTGGCTATGGCGCTTCGTCCTCACCAGGGCAACTGTTGCTACCCACCCGCTCCCTTCCCTCCCCTCTTCGTCGCTGTGATTGGCTGAGCGCTGCCAAATTTTCTTAAAGTCACAGGCACAGCGCATTTCTACCAGAGCCCTATAAATCGAGTCGCGTCAAAAAAGGTTCAAATGCTTGATTGTCACGTGATTCATTTGGGTTTTAAAAAAAGTAAAATTAGCTAATATTTGAGGATTAGTAAGTGTAGTTCCGCTACAGTTAACTGCCTTGTTGACGTATTTTAGGCTAAAGTTCCCTTGTTTTTAGGCCACTGAAGTCTAGTGGTGAGGGTGCAGATTGTAAGCAAAAACATAGCGAGAAAGCACAAAGACTTCGGGGAAGAAGCAAAGTTAGTAATGTGCATTAATGGGACATTCATACAGAAGTAGAGAGAGAAGAGGAGAGAGGAGCTCAGAGTATACACTGCTGCTATAGACCTAGACTGGGGACTTCCTAAAATATAGCAGCATATCTAGGGGCTGGACTAAGGCAAACCTCCCAGTGAGCATTTTTCCGTTGAATAGACGTTTAAAAGACGTCTACGCCCAACGTTGAAAAGACTTTCAGAATTGGTTCAAAAGTGAAAGTTTTTTCGCCGACTATTTGTAGACGTTGATTCAACGTTCACGCTGAGACCAGATTTAAACGTGATTTGCAATACTATCATTTTTCGTCCTCTACATTGTGCTAATAATAAATCATGATATAGAGGCTTACTAATAAACCACATCCACATTTATCAGTTGAAAGCCAGTATTGGACATCACGTTGATATCTGGTCTAAACGTGAACGTTGAATCAACGTCTTTAAATAGTCGGCTAAAAAACTTTCACTTTTCAACGTGATTTAACCATGATTTCAACGTCACCGTGTTTTAACCGTCAAAATGCTCTCAGATCAATATGTAGCAACTAAATACTTAATGTTAGTAACACATCAACAGTTTCCACTTACAGGACAAAATACCAAGTGACATAGGCAGCAGTTCATTTGTATTTATTAAAGCACAATATCAATATAAACAATGTTCATTATATAAAACCATAATCTCCTTCTTCTTTAAATGTCGTTTTCAAAGCCACACAGGAGCCGGTTCAGGAGGTCTGCCATATTTTCAAGCTGGACATCTGTAAATAAAACAAGTATTTAAAATGTGTACAGCCCCACTCGCTGTCCGTAGTATACAGACAGTAAGAAAAATACGGAAAATACACGTGTAGTTTACATGTGAAATGTCCTCTATTTTATGACGTTGGGCTACAGGGACAGTCCACAAAGAAAGTGTCTCCAATATTAACTAACACACGTCTATATTTACCTTCGTAACATGCTAACACTACAAGCTAACATGCTAACGCTACAATTGCTAGCAGCCTCGCCACCATGATGAGCATAACATGATATTAATGGTATGGTAATGCTATTTCGGTTTGCAATATTGGAATAAAGTAGTTCAAGTACTTACAGAGTATGTCGTTAGCGTGAAGCCTCGTTTATTCCGTCAGCTCGTTCATTTCGCTCATCACTCAGTAAGCTAGCTAGCATCGTGCAGACAGCACGCCACCGTCTCTAACTTAGAAATATGCACCGAGTCCGTGCGCATGCGTGTTACAGCAGTAAACACAGGGTTGTATTTTACGTGAACTTATGTGATTATACAGACATAATGTGCTCTGCACTCATTAAGATGTCCTGGGAGCTTCTTGTTGACAGCACACAGTCTATAGTTCCATATTTACGAAGTTTTGTATGAGACATTGAATGCGTTGAAATAACGTCTTCCTGTAGACCACATATCAACGGCCAGCGTAATATGATTTTGGAGAAATACGTTTAAAGTAACCAAAATCGCGTCTCTTTCAACCTACAACTGAACAAACCATCAATATTTTAAAACAAATTGGTGTTTTGTGACACGTTGATATTGTAACTGTAATTTAGCCGGTTCGAAAGACGGCTAAAATACGTCTAAGACGTTCAGACCCCAAATCAACGCTTTTTCAACCAGAAATCAACGTTGAAATCCGGGTTAGTGCTCAGTGGCACTGTTGCCAACTATTTTTCCGGGGAAGTCGCTAGAGGCAGGTCGATTAGTTGCTAAAAGTTGCTAAAAGACGTTGTGACGTCATTACGTAATAACGTAAAACTGCGTAATTACGTAGACTACACAATAACGTTACTCAAATTGACTGTCCATCTCGACAAATAATATGATTTGACATCTGTTAATTAAGATTTTTTGTTTATTATCACATTTTTATTTGTAGAAGTAATTTAAACACAACACATTTTATATGATCAGATATTTTTAAACACAACACATTGAATTATTGAACAATTACACATTATTGAACAATTACTTTTTTTCTTTTCTTATTAACTAGTAAACCTACACATTCTGAACAATTTAAGCAGTGTACTCGTAGTTAGTTAACATGCCACCAAACTGATCAATAATTATAGGTACAAGCTAATAACAAGGTATATATGATATCTTATTGAACAAGCAACTTAACTCAAATAATGATGTGTGCACTGGGCATCTCTTTCCAGCTGTCTCCAGGCTGTTGTGCTGCTTGGCTGGCTAGCTGCTCAATGGTTTCCTCCAGATATTGCCACTGTTCTCGCTCACACGGCAGTGCACACTGCCACCATCAGCTGTGTGTCTCCGCCAGTTCCAGAAAGTCCACTCCTTGCATACATACTGTAAATATGATGAATCGAAAAGTGGAAAAGAAAACCTCTTCATCTTCACTGTCCAACTGCATTGTCACGGAGCTGGAACCAGCAGAAGAGGATGGAGTGTCCTTAAAGCCGTATGCTGTTTTGGTGCCAAACTGCTCCAGAACTTCACTTGGTAGTTTGTGCTGGTAACAGGTATCTCCAGCCAGCTTCAGTCCATACCGCACCAGGAGTATGGAGTTGAGAGTGTGCAGTAACATCCTATTTCTCAGCTTTGACTTGACCACACTCATTTGGCTGAACAGCTGTTCAACCTCCGCATTTGAGTGTGGCAAGGAGAGGGCAGCGAGTGCAGCTTTGCACAGTTCTTCAAATGGATTTGACCTGGAAGAGTCCCTGTAGTTTTTCACTTCACTCCAAAACTCAACTGTATTTTCAGTTGAGTCCCACCTAAACAGATGGATGATTCTCCATTGGGAAACAATTTTGTCAATTGTTTGGGGATGGTACCCCAGTAGCTCAGCTACTTTAATAATTTCAGTGGTGCCTTTATTGTGGTTTAGCATGTCCTTAACACTGAACAAGGCCATGTTTCGCAAGGCTTCTAGGTTGTCTGTGAGCCTTCCTTGCAGCTCCTTGCTTAAAGCAACAATGTAGTTGATGCACCATCTACGAATGACCTTTTCGTCGTCTGGCGCAAGACTGAGTCGGGACACTGTGCTCTCGAAAAGGTACCCAAGGTATGGTGATGGACTGAGATGTCCATCAATGGCGTCCTTCAGGACATCAATTTTTGCCATAGGGTGGACTACTCTGCTGCAAATTGATGTTAAGAGGCGTACCAGATTGTCCAAAAGCTTGACAGGATCTGTTTGCTCTCCCTCAAATGACTTCAATGCAACTTGTATGTCGGACAGGATTGATTTCAAGAATGTCAGGTAGACATAGTTGGTCTTGTCCACGTACATGGCATGGAGCACATCCGCCATGTAGCAATGCTCACTGGCCTTGGTCAACTCAAAGTGGAGTTTCAATTCATCCCACTGGCTCAATATACGAGTTACCGCAGGCTCAATCGATAGCCAACGTGTGGCACACACTTTGGTGATCTGCAAGGGTTTCTGGCCACAATTAATTGTGGCATACACTGCCTTGTATGCCTCGTGCCTTTTTGGGGAAATCGAAAACCAGTTGTAGGTTTCCCTGATTAGGTACTCAACACTCCTAGGGATGGTTTCTTTGGATGCTGCACTGACAGCCAATTGTAAAGAATGGCACACACAGCGGATGAGTACCAAATTGGGCAATGCACATTCTTCCTTTAAAATCTTGTGTACCCCGTTGTGCACCCCAGTCATCACGGACACATTATCAGTGCCAATACCGTGAATATTCTCTTTTTTAAGGTTACACTTCTTCAGTAACTCAACTACTGCCTTTGCTATTAATTTGGCATCGCTCCCCTCCAATTCAACCAGCCCGAGAAATATGGACACAACGGTTCTTTTTATAGCACTGAAATACCGAATCACCACACCCAAGTATTTCGAGACACTGACATCAGTGGACTCATCCAAAAGGAGACTGAACTTCTCATCCCTCACATCTGATGTTACTCTTTTGAGAAAATAAGGAGCCAGTACTCCCCTAATCATTTCTGTGCACTTAGTGCGGTGCATTTGGAAGTTTGTTGCTGCCACAGAATCTGAAAAGGCAGCTTTGCAAGCCATACCTAAATGGTCACATGCTAGCAGCGAACAATGCTCTGCAATGGCTATTGCCATAGTAGCTTCTGCGCTTTTGCATTTATCCACTTTCTTAACCAACTGTGGTAATGTAGATTGCGTTGCAGGGTTGTGCGGTTTTGATTTATTTATATATGCTTTCCTGTAGCACAATGTTTTCTGATGTCATCGATTTTTGCAAGCATATCTGATTTGCAGTACGCACAGTATGCCCGACAATCATCCCCAATTACTGGCTTTAGCCACCCTTTAAATTCAGGTACAGACTCCCAATCTTTTCTGTACTTCTGGCTGTAGAATTTTGACTGAGACATACTGCTGCTGCTGCAGTCAGCCAACAATGATTTGCTGCGTGTCACTGTCGGGCTGTCGGCTGACTCGGCTTGGCTCACTCGGCTGCTGCCCCCTCCTGTGCACGAGCTGAGCACATGCTGTTGACGTCACCCACAATGCACTTTTGCAGCCAGGCACCTGTGTTGTGGGTGTGGCTGTGTGTGTGACGGAGAAAATCTTTTTTGTGTCATTTAGAGGGAAAATGCCTGCGTGCATTTTAGCATTTGAGTCACTTTAAAAAAGTTGCTAAAAGTGCCAAATATATTTTCATAAGTTGCTAAATTTGTTGCTAGGTGCTGTTTGAAAAAAAAGTTGCTAGGGTAGCCTGAAAAGTTGCTGAATCTAGCAACTAAGTTGCTAAGTTGGCAACAGTGCTCACTGGGCTGAGTCAGCCCTAACTGTAAGCATTATCAAAGAGGAAAGTCTTAAACCAAATCTTAAATGTGGTGAGTGTGTCTGCCCCCTAGACTGAAACGGGAAGCTGGTTCCACAGAAGAGGAGCTTGAGTACTTTTTGAGACTAGGAACCACAAGTAACCCTGCATTCAGTGAGCGCAGCTCTCTACTGGGGTAACATGGTACTATAAGCTCCTTAAGATATGATGGTACCTCACCAATTAGGGCTTTGTAGGTGAGGAGAAGGATTTAAAATTATATTCTTAATTTTACAGGGAGCCAGTGCAGAGAAGCATTCTGAATCAACTGGAGAGATGTAAGAGACTTATTACAGCAGCCTGATAATAGGAATTGCAGTAATGTCGTCTAGAAGTAACAAATGTGTCAACAATATTTTCTGCATCTCTTTCAGACAGGATGCGCCTATTTTTGGAAATGTTAGGTATAGGTGAAAAAACAACACTCCTTGAAATTTGTTTTAGGACACATCCTGATCAAAGATGACTCCGAGATTCTTTACGTTGCTGCTGGATGCCAGAGCAATGTCGTCTAGAGAAACTATATCGTTAGAGGTGTTCTGGGCCTAACAAGAATAATTTTGAGTTAACATCAGGTAGTTGCAGATCAACCAGGTTAAATTACACCAAAACATTAAAAAGTACTAATACAACGCACCAGTAACGTCGGGGATGATCGCAGTCTAAGCCTGAAACCACGCATAAAACAGTCCCAATGCTAATTTTACAGCAACCAGTAGTACCTTAACACTATCAACCAATATGGGGACCTATTGGGATAATGGCAGGGCATCTGGGAGGCAAGACAGGGATGGTGTCTCACTGTTTGTTCTTCTTCTTCTTCTTCTTCTTCTTCTTCTTCTTCTTCTTCTTCTTCTTCTTCTTCTCAGTGGCTTACAATGCGTTTGTACTGCTCTTTTATGTTGTAACTGATAAATTGGGAATAAGTAAGTGGGAGGCATACACTGATACACTACATTGGATAATTGTTGTGCAATGTATTTGTTCCTATAAATGAACATGAAATTAATGAAATGAGGTTTAAAAAAGGCCCATCGGGGTGAAAGGAGATGACGTGACTCTCATTAAACGGCTCTGCTTTCTACTACAAAAGCCATCCAGGCCCATTTGTGGGACATACCTGTCCATCATAGACATACAATGTTTTACAATTAAGGCGGTTGCTATGCTGGTGAAAGTAATGTTCATTTTAGTGTCAAACTTCTGCAGTTAGTGTTTCGATAGTGTCACAGTAATATATCAAATTTAAAACATTACAGCCAATACCATTACGTGTACTACTCATTGGTCTTTGGTCAGCTGATGAATGCCCACATGATTTATGTGACAAGCACTAAAGAGAGATTTGAATCTAGTTCAAGTATTTGTCTTTTATGCTGAAGAGTCATTCTACAAATATGTTGGACACACAATCACTTGATCTCAGTTGTATTATATCTCCAGTACTAGTAGGCATAGACTTTTGCCAGGAGGACAATTTATTTCATTTCCTGCTCTTGCCTATCAACACTTTTGGATAGCATTATAGGATAAAACACTTCTGTTGTAATATTAGTTTGATTTTATTTTATAGTTATGCAACGGCCATTCAACTGAACATAAAAATGACAACACCTGCTATGTACTGAAACGCAAAAAATAAAAAATTATGGGCTATTGCGTTTTCATACTGCTGCCACGACCTCCACAGGTCACTTCTGTGACACATTTGTTAATGAATGCCAGGGTGGACACACCCTCCTAAAATGCCATTTTGTTTGCTTGTTATCGTCCCCATTGTAATTTCCTAAACGAGAGACCTTTGACTATGTGGATACACAGATAAAAATGTGTTTTATTTTTGTCTGACTCATAATAAGACTTCTATGTTATCTGCCTTTGGAAATGTCACTGGTCCTGTCTCAGTCCTCCCTACCTTTTGGCATAGAGATGACCGAATAGGCAATTTTCAAGAGAAAAGGAAAAATTATACATACTGAAGTTATGCAGAGTCTTGTGTGGATTAAAAATGGGAAAACAGATGTAAATAATTGTGATATCGGAAACAATGGCCGAAATATATCCCTCTAGTGGTGCGAATGTTAAATCTTATCAGGGAATTCATGGCAACATGCGTAATTAAGCACGAATTATTGATTCCATGTGTTCGGGTAATGTCAGTTCACCGTGTGTTTCTTTTGTATTTATTTAAAGGAATTACCTTTACAATGCCCCTCTGTTCTTCAAACTAATGATGTTGGTCTAGGTGTCAGTTTAAGGATTATTTTTGCATATAACAAAGACAATTCATATAGCTGCAAATGCCATGCCCTTTGAGAAACATATATGGAGACAGAGTTGTAATTGCTCTAATTAAATGTTTTTTACGTCACAAAGTCTATTATGTTTTGCATTTGGTTTGATATTATTAATGTCAATATGCTCTCCATTCACATCCACTACATGACCCACGATTAGGGGATCGTTTACATATTAAATGTAAGTGATGAGGTCGTAATATTGAGGGACATTAAAAGTGACAAAAGTGCTTCTCATGCTGAAACCCAGTTAAATCATCTGACATATTCGTTTATTATGCCACCTTTGGTCCGCTTTTTGTCTCCATAAAGGTCTCTGACTGTATCTCTTTTTCAAATCTGTTCTTCTTCCAGAGACGGCCTGCGTGCGCAGTATGCATGTCTCCCTTGCAGGGCTCCAAACCCCTTTATAAACCACACCTGGGTCAGCTAGAAAGTCATAGCTCTTGCAAACAGGGAGACAAAAAAGCCAAGTGGTGCTCAAAGCGAAGAATCATTTCAACCACTTCTGTTTTGCTTTATTTCCTTGGGGCACTATGTGGAAAGCTGTGGTACTGGCTGTGTGTCTGCTGGTGACTGGGGTTCAGCCCATGGACGACCCAGCATATGGAGTGAAACTATGTGGCCGAGAGTTCATCCGGGCAGTCATCTTCACCTGCGGAGGCTCACGATGGAGACGGTCACTTAGGAGCGCAGGTGAGAGGCTGAGGGCGCTGCATCCTCACCAGATGTCTCATATCATCACTGTTAGGGTTTCATCTGGTGACTGAAACATATTCACGTATGACATCAACTTCTTTTGTTCAATTTCTGATCTGATTTTTTCTGGATCTTTGCGAAATGATCATATGTCCTTGATGAATTTTCTTTCTTTGACTTCCTCTGCTCATTTGTGTGGTTGTGTGCAATTCTGCAGTAAAGATTGTGGCTTTGATATATATTGGTCCGAAATACAGATAATGGGCAGGAACTATTATTTAATGTGTGTGTGTAAGACAAAAACATGAGTATTCTCTCATTCTTCATCACCCGTTTTGTTGCTGCAGATGCTTCTGAGGACCCCTTCAGCTCCCATCAGGACGAGTCCTCGGAGGGTTTGAGTCACAATGACGTGGTGGAGAGTTTCCTCCAGAGGAACAGAGACCTAAGCTTCACAGCCAGAGACAACCATGTCTTTAGCAGGCCGGCCCGTTCTTTCATCAATGAGGAAATCCTGGAAGCCCTACGCAATGCTGACCGCAAGGGCCGGGACGTGGTGGTAGGCCTGTCCAATGCCTGCTGCAAGTGGGGCTGCAGCAAGAGCGAGATCAGCTCCCTTTGCTGAGAGTCAGCCTTTACGCCATCTCAGTGAACACAGCGGCAGACGTATACACAATTACACAAACAGACACACAAATATACACACACTTTATTTTTCTCTCTAGTGTCTTTCAGTTAATTAAATAAACTGTTTGAATTGTTTTGTTTTTAGTAGCTATGAAATGTATGGAAAGGGCTGCCATGTGTTCAAATTGAAATATATACATATATATATATATATATATATATATATATATATATATGTATATATTTCTGTTGGTCTTGAACCAAGCTGTTTTGTCTTTCCCAACCACTATCACACACATTGCAATTCACTTTTTTTCCTCATCAGCTGCGTCTGAGAGTCCAAGAGAAAGAAATGTCATTTTGTTGTCATTTGAAAATAACTGCAAAGCAAGTCATTGAGTCAATTAGAAGTAGATTGTTGGTATTTTGCATTCGTTTCATATCACACAGAGAGCTAATTGGGTTAAAGGTTCAGATCTATAATAAAAGCAATGTGTTAAAAGAACCATTACCTTTTAAAGTCATGTTGAAATTGTGTCTTTCTTCAATTGCCAAGACTTAAAAAAGTCTCACTTCACCTGAAATATGGTGTGCTGGCATATTTTGCACTTGGTGCAGCCACATACTTTCATTACAACACTCTTGAGACAGTGACATTGTCGGGAGAAGATGTATCAGTTCCAGGTCATATACTTAAGTAAAAGTACAGATTCATATTATACACTTAAAATCCCTACATTTAAAACTGAGTAGAGCAGAAGTATTATCAGCAACATGAACTTAAAGTATCAAAAGTATCTGCATTAAAATGACCCATACATTATTACGTTATTATACTGACTGAATTTGTAAGCAGCATTTTAATGTGTTATAGAGGAGACTAAATCTGAAAGGTTGTGAAGTGATTGTTAAAGGAAAGAAAATAAAAAATTCTAAACAAATTTGCATTAAATCTGGGACTTTTCTCTAAACTTGCCTTTGTTTTTGTGAAATGCTGGATGATTCAACCTCTTCGGGCTTTTGAAAGATTATTCAAATAAAACCATCTGAGAAGTTTGGAGGGGAAATCACGATGATGAACAACTCATAGATAACTGAAACATGACAATGGTGACCTGACAAGTACAAAGTACTTGTATAGCCGACCACTGAAAAAAATACTAGTGGGTTTCAGATGAGGTGTGGTCTCTGGGTTACAATCACTACCTCGTCTATCACGCACGCTTTTTGTCATGAAAATGTGCCTGTGTTGTTTCTATGTGAAGATCCTTGGGCTGATGTTGTTGGACCTGCATCACACAGACAGCAGGAAGGAGACTGAGCTGAGTTCGCGTGTGCGTGCGGTTTTGACGCGCGCGCGCGATTCCCGTCACTGGTAATTCCAGAAATAGGCGTGGCTACCCGGTAAAATAACTACACTGACTTGAACTTCATAACTAACTTTCTTCCAATACTCCTTGCAAACCCTGTTTCATTTCGCTAAAGAATGCGCGACAGACTGCCCGGCGTGTCTCACGATGAGGTAAATAATAACAGTCAATAATGATAGTTTGCTAATATAGAAGATCAAAACAGCTTGCTGTTGTTTTGAGACATGTACAGTTAAGGATATTAACGTCAAACTTCGATGCACGTGTTGGTGAAAGCTACATTTATTGTGTCACAAACAGCAGCACAGTGCTTGGATGTAAGGAATGTAGCAGTTACAGGCTATAGCTTCCGTGGTGGGAAATTGTTTATGTGTGTGTATATACAGTACGTGTGTGTATGTGTTTGTCATGTGTGTTGTTTTTTACCCCCTCAGGCCGTAGAGGCCTGGGTCCAAATGTAATGGCCACACTTGGGTCAAGGTGGCTTCTATCCATCTTGCTGGTCATCGTGCCAAAGTGTTTTGCTCCAGGTAGGTTTATTCAGTGCTATTGCACACGTTACTTTAATACTGTATAAGTTAAATTCCTCCTATCATCAGGTGCCTTTTTGTTTTGTTTAGTGCTTTTGTATGCTTTTACTCCACCGTATCCAGAGGGAAATATTGCCATTTTCACTCCACCATATTTATCAAACAACTATACAATAGTACAAACTTTGCTGCATAAAATTGCACATACAAAATACATGTTCAGCTTAATAAAAAAATAAATAATATAAACTATCCAAGGGTATAAAGCATGTACAATTAGCTCACTTTCAACCAGCTATAACATTGAAATGTTAAAGCGATATCAAGGACTTTATGCAAGCGTTGCTATCACTATTCAAGTAAAAGCTCTTTGTCTTCCACTTCAAAACGTATCTCCAACTAATTATACTGTAGATGATTCATGCCTATGGTTTAATGTGCAGCACATGTTGTGCACGCTGAGCATGTTTATACGAAGGGCTCTATGCAGATCAGGTACCTGTAAGTTTCCTGATTTGTGGACTGAGCCTTTGTGATGTTGTATTACTGCGTTACATTTTGTCTTCAAGAGGAAATGGTGAGGAGGGAAGGGTGCAGTTGGACCCAACCTGATTGAAGTACTCATTTCCTGTTAACATTACAGAAGGGTGCTTTCTTGCAACATGCTGCGGGCAGGCTTTGAATTGATCACCGTGAAAAGTGTAGAGGCTTTTAAGAAATGGGTAAAGGTGTGTAAAAAGGTGTGTGTGTGTGTGTGTGTGTGTGTGTGTGTGTGTGTGTGTGTGTTTGCGGGTGTGGGCCGATTCACAAACATGAAAATGACTCTTTTTTTGTATTTTTCTTGTGGTGAAGATCACTCTCTTCTATCTAAAGCTTTCTGGCGCTTTTTCAGTCTTCTCTCAGATATTCTCTGCTTTGCTATTATTACAATTCAATCTATACGACTAAAACACTCATGAACACTAATAAGAATTTGCATTTCATTTGCACAAGTCAAACTGCTCAATCTTACAGTCAATCACCACTGGATGTTCTGACTAGGATGAGCTTTGGGAGAGATTTTACAGTGCGTTCATTTAGGCTCCTTGTGTTCATCTGTTTCTGTTTTAGCTGTGTGTTTCTTTCTGAATTAGTTTTTGTGACTCCTGGACGTTTGTCACGGTGGGTCAGTACCGTTGCTTTTTGGATTGGATATTTAAGTCTGACACTGACTCTATTGTTTTGGACATTTAAAGAGCTCTTCATACGACGTGTAAAGTGATATTTAAAAAAAAATCCAAACTTTCTCTGACACTGTTATTTTAAAACCAAACTAAAGACCTTACTTTTTACCCGAGCATTTTCTTAACTGAACACACTGTATTTTTACAGTACCCTTGTTTGTATGTATGTATGTGGATATTTATGTGCATGTGTGTACGTATGGACGTTTCTGTTATTTCTTGTTTTGTTTTTATGTAAAGCACTGTGACCTGATTTTGTGTCATGGTGCTATGCAGATATACGTTTTAATTGAATTTGGTGTTTCAGATGTCATGGTTGGAATTCTAAGTTGCCAGTTTATTCGGTTACAACTAACGCAGCCTAATTCAACAGCCATGCAAGAAATCCTACCTTCATGATGTTCACTTTTAGTTGAAACTGTTTTTCTATATACTATAAAAACAGAATCACTTTTGATTTCATCCCTTGCCCTCTGTGTTTCTCCAGCTCCTCCTGCTTCTCCATCTCTTCCTGAGTGCTCCATCCCATGTAATGAGAACAATTGTGAAGCTATACTCTGTAAGTGGGATTCAAGGCTGGACCCTGAGATCCCCACGCACTACAGCCTGCACTGGAAGTCAGCAAATAGCAAGTAAACACAACCAGAAATATTCCTTCATTGTCATCTGACAAACTTTAATAATCTGAAAACTTTGGGAGAAGCCTTCTGAATTTGTTTTACTCCTCATGTCTTGTCTTCCAGGCAGGTGTATGGGATCAATGGGACCAGCACGAGTGGGACTATCGATCGGGAAGACTACATCCATGGGGAGCTTCGTGTTTGGGTCCAAGCTAAGAACCAGCATGGTTCTGCCAAATCTCAGGCTGCTTTGTTCAATACAGCTGATATCAGTGAGTTAGTCCTGCACATTCATCAATACAGACATCACCACGAACGACAATAACAACAGTAATAATAGTATAAGTTGCACTTGATGCCAACAGAAATCACTGCAATGTACCTGTATGATAGTAAAAAGTCGATACTGACTTTAGTGACTCTTGTAATTTATCTTCAAGTGATTGATTTTGATTGAAGTGATATTTCGTTTTAGATTGCTTTTGTGTATCTCTCTCTGTTTCTAGTCAAGCTGCCTCCTCCTACAGCCTCATCAGTCAGAGATCAGGACTCTTTAGAGTTTTTCTGGAATTCCACCTGTGCTGAGCATGAGGATCTCTCTTTGGGTCAATGTGAGGTCCAATATCGGACAGAGGCAGAGCAAGTCTGGCGTGAGGTGTCTGATTTAGGTTTTGTCTTCCACTATTTTCCTTTTCTTCCTCTCAGCACGGTCCACACTCTGTAATGGAGTAAGTTGACTTTGAGAAGAAAGTGCAAAATGTTTCAATTATTGCCCTGAAAAAAACCCTCAAAGGTAATCTTGCAAGAAAAACTGTGTATCATTGATTGTCTTAAGCTTTGTCAACTGAATACATGCTTGTTTTATTTCCCCATTCTACACAGGACAAGGATGTACTCCATGGCAGCTATACAGTCGACAGTCCCCAGCCCGGCACAGTCTATGAATTTCAAGTTCGCTGTTCCTGTGAACGGGGCTTGATGAGTGACTGGAGCGCAATCCACAGTATACGAAGCACAGAGATGGGTGAGTCCTCCAAGTTTATCGTCAGTTAAAAAGCATTTCAGGAATAGTTTGTAACTCTAAAGCTCATTAAATAACATGCATATGTCTTGTTTGTTTAATCCATACAAAAACCCAAGTGTAGATAAGACAATTTGGCATTTGTGATGGGTGGATTTTGTTATTTTTGGAAAGAGCTAGCCGTTTCCATTAGATGCTAAGCTAACCTGCCACTAGATATACAGTATTGTACAGATATTTACCGTTTCAATGTGTACAGTATGGTGACAGTAATTATGTAAAGATGAAACAAAAAGAATAATCCAATTTGCCCCAACAGTATTGTCTTATCCACTAAACAAAATAACCATTTATCTGCTGACATTATGAACCACCAACCTGCACTGGGTCTGATTTGGCCATTAACTCTTTGTTTTTCTAACTTGTTCCCCCCTTGTTCAGCCCCAGATGGAGAGCTGGATGTATGGAGGGATTGTGGGATATCCCAGAAAATCTCTGACTGTGTTGTGACCTGGAAGGTAGGTCAGCACATTACCCCACAACCGTTATTCTCTGACTGAAACCAGAGTCTCACTTTACGCAGACACACGACTCGCTAACCCTCTTCCTTCTCTTCATCCCATCCAGAAGCTTCCTATATCTCAAGCTCGCGGCCTCATTCTGGGATATGAAGTCAGACTGTCTTACAATAACGGCGCCCCGGTGTTGGTGAACATGTCCACAGCTGAGCCAAAGGGCCGGTTGGCCTGTGAAGAGATGCAATGCCACTTTACTTCCTCTCTGAAGGACGTAGCATCAGTCAGCGTGTCTGCCTACAACGCTCGTGGTGCCACAAAGCCTTCTTACCTCGCTCTGCCAACACCAGGTATCAACTGTCATTGAGTCAAAAGTATAAGTAGTAAGTACAGAAAGCTTTGTATCAGAGGCCGTATTCACAAAACACCCGGAGGCTTAAAGCAGCTCCTAACTGGATGGATACGTTTTGTGATCTAAGAGTTATTCAGAAAGCCTTTCAGAGTCAAAAGTAAGAACTTCGAGTTCATCGAGAGTCACTGAGACACGCTCACAATCAGTGAAAGGCTGCAGGTAATCTGCCTCATCACGTCAACGTTTTTTTAAATCTGAGAATTATTCCTCGAAGCAAAAATTGGCTCTTCCGGTTATTAAATGTGAACTTAATAATCACCAAATGGACTAAATGTATCAAGCTGATTTTATGTCCTTCAATATAAAATGTAGAATCATCAAATGATTACTTATGAAATTATAGTTAAAATGATGGACAATAATTATATATATTTTGATCCAATTCTCTAGTTCCTTCCCTTGTATTTCTACTATTGTTGCGGCGTATAAGAACTAACAAAGCACTTCTCTCTTGCTCAGGTGAACATAAAAACGAGCAAGCTATTCGCCTCATGATGAATGAAGAGAACCTCACTGTGTCCTGGGATCCGCCCGCTCAGCTCTCAGACAACCTGAAGGAATATGTGGTGCAATACAAGCAAGCAGGATGTCCTCCAGGCCAAGGATTTGATTGGATCAAAGTGAACAAAAGCCAGACAACAGGAATCTTTGAAGGTCTGTTTGATTTGAATACAACAACACTGTTTAAATATTTCAAACATCTGATTGAGTATAGGCCCAGAAAGTGATGGAGGACATTCATTCAAAGAAACCATCATTCATTGATAATCTGTTATAATACATTTTCAACTTGGAGAATGAATCTTCTTACTTTAAGGTTGGGCTTGTGCTGCCTGTTTTCAAAGTGGCTGTTTAATCTGGTTTGTGTCTCCACCTACAGGTCGATATAAAAAATACACAGCCTACCAAGTGTCACTGTTTACTGTATCAAACAGCAGGAAAGTCCATCATCTTTCACCAGTTATCGTATATTCAGTTCAAGGAAGTAAGTATTAATGCGTTGTTTCTGAGCTATCTTTGAAAAGAATGTTTTACTTCCACTGGCAAACTTCTCATATTAACTGGAATAAACGTGTAACCATCATGTACCTTTCTCTTATCTCTTTTCAGCCCCCTCCAGAGGGCCATCGTTTGAGGTGTCTTCCATCGGTGACACTTATGTGACCCTGTCTTGGGAGTCTATTCCCCTCTCCGAGCAGAACGGGGTGATCCTGTACTACCAAATAGTAGTAGAGAGTGGAGCAGACAGAAAAAACGGTACACAGCAACAATATATAACACAGTTGTAGTACTTACTTTAGGAAACAAAGTAATTGCAAATAACTGTGCGATGGATTGCCATCAAATTTGGTACACACCTCTACTAACTTTGATAAAAGCGAAACTTTTCATCCAGCACCATCAGAAGGTCGGTTTTTGACTGTATACCTGCAAAGCTAATGACATTCCCATCAGCCTCAGCTGTGTGATGATTAGCAAATGTTAGCATGCTAAACTAAAATGGTGAAAACTGCTAAACATCAGCATGTTAGAATTGTTGTTTAAACAGTATGATTGTCATCTTTATACAACATAGTTATAAGACAAGGCGTACCTTCAGAAAATTTTATGAAAAATATATCAATTCAAAATAATTTAGGCAGCATCACCAACATTCTAGAACGTGCACATTGCCACAACAGTTTAACTGGTACATTAAAGCGGCCCATAGATGATCAGTGGCAAAATAGCTTTGTGCTATCTATGAATTAATTAATTAATTAATTTACATTACATAAAATCTTGACATTAGCCTTTACCTCAAAGCTCTCCTTGGCCTAAATGCAGCGTACATATTGCTAAATCAAAATGCACGTGTGAAATCATGATAAATATATCCAAAAGAAATAAAGAAAAGTAGTAACAGGCAAACTAAAGTAATAGAACACTTAATTTGGTTTGTTTCTGTCAGCTGTTCTCTGTTTACTGAACCTCACTCCACACAATTTGTCTCTCCTAGTGTTGTACAATGTGAGTGTATCACCGCAGCGTGACAGTCATACGTTTAAGCTGCTGCATCTCAGTCCTGGACAGCAGTACGAGGTGCGGATCCGAGCTGTGACGCTAGCCGGACCGGGAGAGAATAAAACGGCAGAGTTCAAAACCAAGGACCATGAACCTTTTGGTATTACATCACAAACCTAATTGTTTTCTTGTTGAATGTGATGAGCTCAGGATGAGCTGTATGACAGAGAATTTTAAGAGGTGTAATTTGATATTTCTTACAATACGTGGATTAATCATACTCGCTGAATCAGTTTGTCTCTCTCGTCTCGTTTTTCTCTTTTTCAGCGCACTTAATAGCAGTTGTGCTTGGAATCATTTTGTTGGCCGTGATATGCATGCTTTGTATTTTATACAGGTGAGATAATCATTTAAACATACTTATCTTATAGTTCTGAAGCATCTTGTGCTGTATAGCTGTGATACAGCACGTTTGTTTTGCTTTTTCTTGGTAAATACTTTGACTATTGTTCACTAATCTCTAATAACACTTGAAATACTTTAACAAGCAAAAAAATATAATTTTTCAGTGTTGGGGTGCTAAAACTGTGTACAGTGCAATAATAAAAAAAAGGATATTTAATTCAAATCCTCTCCATGATTGTTGTGGATGTAAACATTGAAGCTAATAATACATCAATGTGCACATTTTTCTTTTTCATTGAACCTGAGGGTTTCTTATGCTTGTTTGTTTTTTACTCATATGTGTCTGCCAGTGCTTGTCGAGAAGAAAACAAAGTATGGTGCCTCAGTGTTTCTCTGACAAAAGTGCCAGATGCCCGCAACAGCCACATTTTCAGACACATGAAGCACCAGGTGAGAGACTGGACTGAAATAACAGCACCTCTTTGTCTTTGTCTCTAATCTCGGAAACAGGATTTACGCTGATTGTTGATGCCATTATTTTGCTTTTCAGCTGGTAACTGCTTATTGCGTTTACAACTACATGCTCACTAATGTAGTCAAGTCCTAGTTTGTTAGTGTGTTTTACCAAAACGACCAAATACATCCCGGGTCTGTGTGTGATCTCTCTGTAGATTAATGACTCCTTGGCTTGGATCTGCATTCCCGTGAATGAGGCGCATCCCAAGATCTCTCTGTTGGAGGTCGTGGAGAAACCCTCCGGCCCTGACGGGTTAACGAGGATAGCGGTCGGAGATGGATGCTCACAGGTGGACTGCCAAGATGATCGGAGGGAGGAAGCTGTCACAGAGGAGTGTCAAAGGACAGACCACAGAGGAAGAGAGGAGTACAGCAAAATGGTTGACTCAGATGAGGAGGGGGACAGGGAAGCTAGCTGGAGTTCATCAGGGGGTTACGAAAAGCACTTCATGCCCACTGCTTTGGAAGTACTGGACAGTTGATGTTTCTCTACGTTGGCTCATGGACGTTCATCTCAGATGTGTGTTTCTTTTAAATGTGCAGAAAATGTTCAATGTGGAAATGTTATTTTCGACAATGACCTCTCTGCAGGACCCAGGAGGGCGACTCAGGTCATTGGAGAGATTTATCTACTAAAGCTTATGACATCTTTCATTTGGCTTACTTTTCTTATTTCAGTGATTACCAATGTTAAGCCTAACTTGTTCGATTTAGTTCACTTTAGTGACAACACAGCCATGCCGGTGGAATATGGTGGAATATGGTGCAGTATGTTCCAAGACAGTCATTCCACAGCCTTAAAAATATTCAAGTAATAATAAACACATGAAGCCACAAAACACCATATATATCTACATTTCACAATATCTAATGTAAAAAGGAAAAAAACGAAACACCTACATGGTTTATATTTTGTACTACCTTGTCATGTCAAGTGTCGATTGTAAAAAGAAATGTCACACAAATACTGAATTATTTACTAAAGGAGAACAGTGTTGAAGTGTTGGATTTATAAGCCGCATTCTTATTAAATATCTGCTGTGCATCGTGTACTAAATTATCCTTTAAACATATTCTTAGCTAATAACTACATTTATAAAATGTAGTACACATTTCATTTAAACTGAAAAAACAGTTGAGGACATTTATCATATTCATCTTGTTTTGATGAGTTGCAACTGATCACTAATATGATAAAAACAAACCACACCCACATCCTGTAGATACTTATATGAATTATAAGTATCACTGTAATGCAATTCAATCCGTACCATTCTTATGTATTTGGTTGTTTGTAGGCCTTTGTGTGTTATTTTCTGTGCCTAATAATTAACCATTATATATTTTTTAAAAGCAAAGGTCCTTCTGTAATCTCGTGTCGTTAGCGAAATGTGTACTGGACGGAAGCCGTCATAGCTCAACTTCAATCGGCGTGCTCATTTGAACAAGAAGAACCGCTACGAAGCACACGGGTGGAGAGCGGCCCAGTACGATAATTCAACTTTCAAGTCAATATTGTACGTATAGTTTTATATACGTTGTACTTTAACCGAACGTTGTAGACATATTTGTCTTCGATCAGACCGCCTCAGCGGGTAAGGTATTCTGATTAAGCGAATTTCGGGCAAGTGTCCGTTACATAGCATTAGCCTAGCTAGTAGCTTTAGCATTAGCATTGTCAGTCAGAAATAGCTTCAAACGGCTTAGCGGCTAACGCCTGGTTGCGAAACGTGTTCATCAAGTTTAGACCCATTACTGGCTGCTAACGACGTGTTAACCGCGATACCTTACGTGGACATTCAGATATTGTCTTATTCCTAAATTATGAGTTGGTACATGGCGGTGTTTTGATAGTTAGATGGCGGTATTTGCCTATTTTCATGCCGGGCACATTGTGACTATCTCCAGCCTGGAGTTGCCGTGTCGACCAGGCCCCGAGCAAAGAAGGGCAACTTTAATAGCAGCGGGATAACGCGTGTAAAGGCATCTCAAATGATTATTAACCAACCGATGAGGTAAATCGTCCACGGATGTTATAATTAAAGTTAACTAACAAGTCTAGTTAAATGTAGTTGCTGTATAAACCACACGGGCCGCTTAACGTTAGCGAGGAGCCGGACATGGAGGCCCTGTTAACATCGCTATATCCGTGACAACTTTTCCTCACACTCCGACCGACCACAATGAGCACGACCCTCTCGGATAAATCGCGAGTTTTCGGACCCCACGCGCAGTACAAACACGGTGTGTTTGAGATTTAAACGAGAGATAGTTCGGCACAAAAGTGTTTCTGTATGTTCTACCAGCGGACCGGGTGGAGTGGGGGTGGGGGTCGGATTAACGTGGAGCGGATAAACCGGGTCACAGGGATTTTAACGGGTCATGTTCTCTTAATGTCCTCGTTTTTTTTTTTTTTTTGTTTTTTGTTTTTTTTTTTGTTTGTTCCACAAGCCGATTTCCAATTATATTTTTAGGTGTTGGCTGCTTAGGCCAACCACTGCAGCGGTTATTTTATCTCTCTAAATACCCCTTAACGTTACCTAACTCTTGAGGGCCCGTGGCCGCCTTCGACCCGCAACATGTGCACCTTCATCCTCCTGCATGTGCCCTTAAGGCTTATTTCCTCTTCAAACATTTGGTACATTGCCTGATTAGGTAAAAGTAACGTCTGCAGATATTTGACATTTAAGATTATTAAAATGCACTTCTTGGGGTATAAAGTCTGCTGGTAGAGAAGTTCTGCAGATAAGTTTAAAAAATGATTTTGCATTAGGAATAGTTGCAGTGTAAGCAGACTTGACTGCATCGAAAGGAGCTTCGTACAAAGTTCTGTACATTGTTTCCTTTCACATTGCGTTGCTATGAATAGCTATGGGTGTGGACTTTGGAGGTGATGCATCCTAAAAAACATCTGACTGCCACTGATGGTGTTTGTATTCATACTGCCTGATCCAGAAACCACCCGCTTACCTATTTGTCCTACATAGTGATCTGTGTAGGGCTACACTGTAAAACATGCATATAACTACGTTAATGTGTGGATTAAATTAATGTTTTTGTTTTTCAGGATGGAGTGGCAGCCAGATGAGCAGGGACTTCAGCAGGTCCTCCAACTGCTCAAAGACTCTCAGTCGCCCAACACAGTCACGCAGAGAGCAGTCCAACAAGTATCCTACCACAGTACAATCTGAGGGTGTGCTTAGGGTAGCTAGGGATAATTATTATTATTTGACTAATGTGATGCATGATTTTAATGCTAGTGCAAAGGGATTTTAATCTGCACCATGCTAATTTATTGCTACTTCTGCCACATTATCAAGTTGGAGTGCTATCCACATTTTAAAGATTTTTACTGTACTAGTCCAGAGTGGAGCGGGTGGCCACTTGTTCATGGATAAATCTCCGATATCTGACACTTGCGTCAGCTGCAAATCCTGGGAAGTCTTTTTAATGTTCCAAGTGTACAATTGCAGAGACAATGCACACATTGTATTAACAAACTACAAAGATGTCTTTGGTTGATGTAAATTCTATTTGGGTGAGCCAGCCATAAATATTGGTGATGTTTAATACACTGGTGATTCCATGTGGAGCTCTGTGTCAATCTTTATATATATTTACAATTAGACCAGTGAAATGGTCCTTAACTGCCACGCTAGAAACTTGAACAACTCAACCAATTCCCCGACTTCAACAACTATCTCATCTTTGTTCTCACGCGACTCAAAACTGAAGGTGAGTCGCTAGATGTGTTTCTCCTCTTTCAGCCGTTTTATAGCGCACCGACGTCATGAATCCACAATGATTAAAGTTCCTCTCATACTCCCCCATACACTTAGAACGCTGAATGAACTGTGTGTCACACTATCTGGCATCTGGACATGATGAAAACCCCAGCTCATTGATTTACAATGATACATAATGTTCCTATATTTTCTGATCCAGATTTGTCAAGGCTCTGTATGATTCATACATTTGATTTGTGTGATATGTGTTTCACAGAGAGAAACCGCGGGTGTGATGAAGGACCACCTGATTTAGTTTATTTAGATTACCGTGAAGATTTGAGCAGAGCCAAACATGATGTACTTTACACTTCAACTTAATAAACCGTAGAGAACAATATAATAAAATGGCACAAACCTGTAAAATACGTTGAGTGGTTGTCTTTGGTTATAGTTAGAATTGATAGGTCTACACAGACATTATTTATGGCCTCTGTTTCTCTCTTAACTTAGTCGTACCTTCCTTCTGTTCACTTCCTCTCCTCAGACGAGCCGACTCGCTCTCTGAGTGGTCTCATACTGAAGAACAATGTTAAGGCCCACTACCAGAACTTCCCCCCGACTGTTGCTGACTTCATCAAGCAGGAATGTCTCAACAACATCGGTGACCCCTCGCCACTCATTCGCGCCACCATCGGTGAGTTTGTTTTGTGGCCATCGTACCTAAGACACCCAGTCCTTTCCCGCCTCTGGAGGTGATGCATAAAACATTAAAAACACCTGATTTCCCGTGAAGGTATTTGTATTCATACTGTCTGATCCAGAGCGACCGCAAAGGCAACCGCTCACGGTCCCGTTAATAACGGATCACTGTCTGACGTTCGGTGTCTCTCCCGCTCCTCCAGGCATCCTGATCACGACCATCTCCTCCAAGGGAGAACTACAAACATGGCCTGAGCTGCTGCCTCAGCTCTGCAACTTGCTCAACTCTGAGGACTACAACACCTGCGAGGTCTGCACTTACCCCGCTCTGCCCATGTTTTTTATGCTATACTAAGAATTACGTGAAGCCACCAAACATCACAATAAGATAGATGCTCGATGTGCCTCACCCAACGGGAGAGGGAGGGAGATGTCACTCTAGCGTAGTTTGTACATGCATCCTGAGTGTTCAGATCCTTTGAAGGACATTTTTATTATTGTATCTACATGTTGTTTTTGATCATTTTAGTTTTTTTAAAATGTTTTAAGTGACACTCGAAACATTTGGAATCTAATTATTTCTTGAGCATCACGTGGGAGAGTTTATCTTTAACATGGAGTCTGACGTTTGAGTCCGTCTGGCATCTGGACATGATGAAAACACCCAGCTCATTGATTTACAATGATACATTATGTTCCTATATTTTCTGATCCAGATTTGTCAAGACTCTGTTGCTCAGTAGTGGTATTTTTTCGCTCTTTTTAAATTGTCATAAACTCATACTTTCATCATAGTTGCGTCTTTTTGACACGTAAAAATATGAGTGATCTATTGACTGAAAACGTTTTTGCATTTGTGGAAATAAAAATCAGCTGAAAAGTGAAGTCTGTTGAATGCACTCAGTACCAGTTGTATTCTCTGATGCAGTCTCACTCTCTCCTCTGTGTTCTTGTATGTTTGCGTTTGATTTGACAGCCTCTCTGTGTATGTCCGTGTCTCAGGGCTCATTTGGAGCACTGCAGAAGATCTGCGAGGATTCGTCGGAGCTGCTGGACAGCGACGCTCTGAACAGACCTCTCAACATTATGATACCAAAATTCCTCCAGTTCTTCAAGCACTGCAGCCCCAAGATTAGGTACGGGAGAGAGAAGAGACTCATTCCGATTGGTTGTGATTATCATCTGGGCGTGATGCAGAATTAACATCTGACTGACCGTGAAGGCGTTCGTATTCATACTGTCTGATCCAGATCATCTGAGCTTCCTGTCACTCTGACGTTTGACTTAAGAGTTAATGGCTAATAAGATTAAATTAGAAATATTCTTCTCACTACGGTGCATTTCTCTCTTGGTGCCTCAGTGTCGCCAATCAGTCAAAAAAAAACAAGTTTTAACGAAACGCGGTGGCACAAAGCCAGATGTTGCTGTTGGTATATTTAAACATTATGTATTTTGGCTCACTAATCCGTCTGTGTGACTCCACTGTTAACATGTGTTGGCTGCAGGTCCCATGCCATCGCCTGTGTGAACCAGTTCATCATCGGCAGAGCCCAGGCCCTGATGGACAACATCGACACCTTCATAGAGGTGAGCTGTGTGTAGTGAGGTGACTTGGACTGTTTCTATAACAGACCACAGAAAGTTGAAAGTCTTTTCAGCTTGTTATTAAACCTTTTACTCAGGTTATATGTATGTGTAGTTAGACTGAAGCTACCAAACATCACAACAAGATAGATGTTTGATGTGCCTCACATGAGCAGATGCAACAGAGCTAACGGGAGAGTGAGGGAGATGTCGGTCTTGAATTGATGTTTTTGATAATTTTTTATTATTTTTTTTAACATTTTAAGTGACACTCGAAACATTTGGAATCTAATTATTTCTCAAGCATCACGTGGGAGAGTTTGTCTTTAACATGGAGTCTGACGTTTGAGTCCGTCTTGCATCTGGACATGATGAAAACACCCAGCTCATTGATTTACAATGATACATTATGTTCCTATATTTTCTGATCCAGATGAGTCATGGCTGTGTGCTAGGTAGTGGTATTTATTGCTCTTTTTAAATTGTCATAAACTCATACTTTTATCATAGTTGCGTCTTTTTGACACGTAAAAATAAGAAAAACAATTTGTCGACTGAAAACGTTTTTGCGTTTGTGGAAATAAAAATCAGCTGAAAAGCGAAGTCATGTTATTTAAATGGTTGGACACATTTAAATAAATCCTTGTCCATCCATTTTTTTTTTTTGTTCATCCCAATTGTCTTTTTTTTTTTTTTTAATTTTTTTTTTTATATAAATACTTTCTTTCTTGTGTCATTTCTCCTCTCTGTCCATCTAGAGCTTGTTTGCGCTGGCAGCAGATGAGGACTCTGAGGTTCGAAAGAACGTGTGCCGAGCCCTGGTCATGCTGCTGGAGGTCCGCATAGACCGCCTCATCCCCCACATGCACAGCATCATCCAGGTAAGTGTTGGACATCTGCTCAACCACCTGTAGGAATTAGATGTGGGAGAACGTGTAGACCGCGTCCTTATTTCTGGCATCTGGACATGATGAAAACACCCAGCTCATTGATTTACAATGATACATAATGTTCCTATATTTTCTGATCCAGATGAGTCGAGGCTCTGTGCTACGATGTTGCAAACTCCATTTGTTTTGGATGTTTCCAATCTGAAACGCGTTCTTTCCTCCTCTCCTGCAGTACATGCTGCAGAGAACCCAGGACCCCGATGAGAACGTGGCCCTGGAGGCCTGCGAGTTCTGGCTGACTTTAGCAGAGCAACCCATCTGTAAGGAGATGCTGTCTGGACACCTGGTGCAGTGAGTAGCATACTAACTACTGATGGGGGGGGAAATGTGCGTTCTGTTTTCCTACTGTGAAAGATGTGGTTGTCTTAATAAAAAATCAACTTTTACGTGAGGTTTGTCGGCTGTTTTAACCAATCAAGTCTCCTCCTCCTCCCCGCTTGATGTAGACTAACGCCTATCCTGGTAAATGGGATGAAGTATTCTGAAATTGACATCATACTATTAAAGGTGAGCTCTTTGTTCTTGTAATCGTTTACGATACCTTTTCATACAGAAATATACCATTTGTGTTATGAGTTAATGTCTTTTGATCATAATGTTCATTTAAGTGTACGGCTGTCCTCAAAAGTTTGACGCTTCATTTTGAGTCCGTCTTGCATCTGGACATGATGAAAACCCCAGCTCATTGATTTACAATGATACATAATGTTCCTATATGTTCTGATCCAGATTTGTCAAGCCTGTGTAGGATTCATATATTTGATTTGTGTAATATGCATTTCAAGCACTAGCTGGTGTTTTGCTACAGGTCCAGACTGAACCTCAGCTTATTTAGGTAATGCTGGTAATCACAGGTTGACCCGGTTAGAGAAAGAGGCTCTGAGAGTGTTCAGACAACTTTGTGTGGCGACATTAGTTTCAATTTTGTTATCGAACTTATTGGAAGTGGTGGACACTTACTGAACACTAGCGGCAAAATAAAACTTGTTTGTCCAGGGGGATGTAGAGGAGGACGAGGCGGTACCAGATAGTGACCAGGACATCAAGCCCCGTTTCCACAAGTCGCGCACCGTCACCCTGCAGCACGAAGGAGGCGAGGACGAGGAGGGCGAGGACAACGACGACGACGATGATGACGACGACGACACGCTGTCGGACTGGAACCTTCGTAAGTGATCGAGAAATGCAGTTACAGAGGAGATGTGGAATAGGATCCTCCTGGCGATACAAGATGGGCATAATGTTACAATCGCCTCTTTCTGTAGGTTGTGTGTTAATTAACAGGTCGGGGTTTAGGAATGACTGGACTCTTTTCTTTTCGATGTAGGGAAGTGTTCCGCTGCAGCACTGGATGTGCTCGCAAACGTGTTCCGCGACGACCTGTTGCCCCACCTCCTGCCGCTCTTGAAAGGCCTGCTCTTCCACCCCGACTGGGTCATCAAGGAGTCTGGCATCCTGGTCCTGGGGGCCATAGCTGAGGGTAAGACTGACGGGACTGGATGTTTCTCAGAAACTACTTGATTTGTTATACGAGCAGCAGTCGTATTGACAGGCTGAGTTTTTTTTTTTTTTTTTTAAGTCCGTCTTGCATCTGGAAAGGATGAAAAACCCAGCTCATTGATTTACAATGATACCTTTTGTTCCTATATTTTCTGATCCAGATTTGTCAAGGCTGTTGCTCAATCGTGGTATTTTTTGCCCTTTTTAATAACTAGTAGTTTCCCCTTGTTGTTCTCTCCTCTCTCCATGCCTCAGGCTGCATGCAGGGCATGGTGCCCTACCTGCCAGAGCTGATGCCCCACCTCATCCAGTGTCTATGCGACAAAAAGGCCCTGGTACGCTCCATTGCCTGCTGGACCCTGAGTCGCTATGCACACTGGGTGGTCTCTCAGCCCCCAGACTCGTACCTCAAACCCCTTATGACGGAGCTTCTTAAACGCATCTTGGACGGCAACAAGAGGGTGCAAGAGGCTGCTTGCAGGTGAGCACATCCGTTCACGTATCGGCCATAGTCTGGCAGAACTACATCGATAGATTAAATATTGACTTGTCCTCCGTCTTGGTTTTCTGTCAGTGCGTTTGCCACCCTGGAGGAGGAGGCGTGCACAGAGCTGGTGCCCTACCTGAGCTTCATCCTGGACACACTGGTGTTTGCCTTTGGGAAGTACCAGCACAAGAATCTCCTCATTCTCTACGATGCCATAGGAACTCTAGCGGACTCAGTGGGCCACCACCTCAATCAGGAAGTAAGTGAATTATATAGACCTGCACTCCCAAGTTTTACCCTAATTGAACTGTAGCTAACAGAATGATCTTTGCTCTTAATTGGATTTAAAGGAACTTGACATTTGTGATTGATATTGTTTCTCAGGAGTACATTCAGAAGTTGATGCCCCCCCTTATTGCCAAGTGGAACGAGCTGAAAGACGAAGACAAGGATCTCTTCCCATTGCTAGAGGTGAGAAGTTGTTTTGAGTGATTTAAAGTAATCACTTAAACATTTTAAGTGACACTCGAAACATTTGGAGTCTCATTATTTCTCAAACATCTCTCGGGAGAGTTTATCTTTAACATGGAGTCTGACTTTTGAGTCCGTCTTGCATCTGGACATGATGAAAACCCCAGCTCATTGATTTACAATGATACATAATGTTCCTATATCTTCTGATCCAGATTTGTCAAGACTCAGTAGTGGTATTTATCTCTCTTTTTAAATTGTCTTAAACTCATACTTTTATCATAGTTGTCTTTTTGACACATAAAAATAAGAGGAAAGATGAAGCTGTGCTTCAGTTTTATTTTCTGATGCAGTCTCACTCAACCCACATTGGGTTTAGAATATCTGAGCTTTTAATATAAATGGCTCTTTCACGCTAAAGAATTGTCGCTTTAAGGAATGTCTAGGGCTGTACCGAATGTTATTTTTTTCTGTCTGTTTTTGACATCCTCACCCTAAAAATTGGGTAAACACCCCAGGCCACACATGTGCGTATGTGTAACTATAATCATCTTTGTTTTTTTCCAGTGTCTGTCGTCTGTAGCTACCGCCCTGCAGAGTGGGTTTCTGCCTTACTGTGAGCCCGTCTATCAGCGCTGTGTCACGCTAGTCCAGAAGACGCTAGCTCAGGCTATGGTGAGCATGCAAACACACACACACACACACACACACAATACAGGTGTTGTGTATTCGGTGATCAATTTTCAGCTGTGCAGAAGAGATGATAAAAGTTCTCCGCCCTGTCCGTACAGATGTACAACCAGCATCCAGACCAGTACGAGGCTCCTGACAAGGACTTCATGATCGTTGCTTTGGATCTGCTGAGCGGCCTGGCGGAGGGTTTGGGGGCTCATGTGGAACAGCTGGTGGCCCGCTCCAACATCATGACTCTGCTTTTCCAATGCATGCAGGTATGAGTGCAGTTTCTTTTTATAGATGGGAGAAAAACTGAGCTATATGTATGCTGTTTCATTTTAATTTAGACGTATTTACAACACTAAGGGGTCTGGTTTGTGTTGCAGGATACTATGCCTGAGGTGAGGCAAAGCTCCTTCGCTCTGCTGGGGGATCTAACCAAGGCGTGCTTCCTCCATGTGAAGCCCTGCATTGGTGAGTGTGCTCAGAGCACTGATTGTGCGATACCTGTTGTAGCCATAGATCGTCAGTGATCGGATGTCATTCTCTGTATTGTAACCTGTGTGTGTGTCCATGTCCTCTCTCCAGCTGAGTTCATGCCCATCCTGGGGCTCAACCTGAACCCAGAGTTTATCTCGGTGTGCAACAACGCCACCTGGGCCATCGGAGAGATCTCCATGCAAATGGGTGAGAAAGCAGGTCACGCTTACTGTCGATGCGTTTTTTGGTTTGCTCCCTGAAAACGAGTGCTTGGTATCTGGATATGATGAAACACCCAGCTCATTGAAACACAATGATACATTTTGTTCCTATATTTTCTGATCCAGATATGGCACACCGCATGTTGCACTAGGTGGCACAGTTGACTTTACACACATGTGTATGAAAACAAACCTCAAATCACATATCCCTATATTTTTGACCAAATACCTCAATATTGTGACTATATTGTCGGGTTGACTATTCCTAAGATTTACACATTCAGATTTTTTGATAATTATCTACAACAGTCTGGTAAGTTCAGTAAATTATATCGCATCACTTAACTGTAATGCAACCTTTAAAACCAGGAAAAGACAACACTTCTGCCATTTATAAAATATTGCAATATCCAAAATCTAAGTCAATATCTAGTCTCGTATCACAATATTGATGTATATTGTGTGAACCCAGTGACATCCTGACAGGCACAAGTGTCAGTCGGTCTCTGCCTCAACTTGATAAGTGTGGCAGCTGTCGTAGGCATCGCATACATCCTGTCAAACAGGTAACCGTAACCTCACAACGAACAGAATGTTGCTCATTCTGCAACAGCAATCATTAAACCAAAAAAAACCCTCCATCTCAGGAAGCCTGTTGTGCAAGTGTCAAGTCGTCATGGGCATTTGAATCTATTTGAACTGTGTTCTTGGTGTTTGTCCAGGTGCGGAGATGCAGCCCTATGTGGGCATGGTTCTGCCACACCTGGTGGAGATCATCAATCGGCCCAACACACCCAAGACTTTACTGGAAAACACAGGTACCCAAACCGTCGCACATACTTTGTTGTCTGTACACATTGGAACATGCGTTTTAAAGATGGGAGTGTCTGTGGAAATGTATGGTGAATTGTTTTGTGTTTGTCTCCCTGTGTGCAGCCATTACGATTGGCCGACTGGGTTACGTCTGCCCCCAAGAAGTTGCCCCACAGCTGCAGCAATTCATTCGACCATGGTGAGGTTATCATACTGGTATTATGAAATATACCCTTATTGATTTAATATAAGATGTTTTTATGGACATGATGAAAACCCCAGCTCATTGATTTACAATGATACATAATGTTCCTATATTTTCTGATCCAGATTTGTCAAGACTCTGTTGCTCAGTAGTGGTATGAAGATGCTGACCAAACTAATGAATTAATACGTTCCACTTTTGTCTCGTCGTTGCGTCTCTTCCCAGGTGCACGTCGTTGAGGAATATCAGAGATAATGAGGAGAAGGACTCGGCCTTCAGGGGAATCTGTGTGATGATCGGCGTCAACCCTGCAGGAGTGGTGCAGGTGAGGTGATCCACTCTAACGCTGTTGAGGCTACAGGGGATGTTCTGGAGATGATGAAACACCCAGCTCATTGATAAAGCAGTGATACATTTAGTTCCCAAATTAACTTTTCTGATCCAGAGTCGCCCTTGTCACCCTCCTGTGACTTTTTCGTCCCGGGCTCTGAATTTGCTAGTAACGAGTGCCCTTCTCTGTCCAGGACTTCATTTTCTTCTGTGACGCCGTGGCCTCGTGGGTCAACCCCAAGGAAGACCTGAGAGACATGTTTTATAAGGTGAGTGCCTCCATCAGAACAGAAGACCGTTTCACTGACTTCCATCTTGTCGGACACATCGATCTGACGACTGTCATTAAAAATGCTCCTTCACTATGTGCAATGCTTGCTCGCCACACTCCATGATGATCACTTAACAGACATTCGAAATCTGATTTCACGGTGCGGAATATTTTTTTTAAGCCTGAGAAGTGTGTGCAGAGCAGGTGGAGACCATTTTTAAAAAAAATTTGTCAATCTCTCATTTAAGTTGAGCCAAACACTCAATTGCTTAAACCCACTACTTTAAACATTCACACAGATGTTAGTCAGCCGCTGTGATGGGTTTCTGTTTTCTTCTCCCAAGATCTTGCATGGCTTCAAGGACCAGGTAGGAGAAGAGAACTGGCAGCAGTTCTCAGAGCAGTTCCCTCCTCTGTTAAAGGAGCGCCTGTCGGCCTGCTACGGTGTCTAACCCAACCTCCTCCTTGTCCACACAGGACACCAACCTGTTAGGTATGTTCAGCAAACAGGCAATAAATCACACCTTTTTTTTAATACCCTGAACCACTCGTATGACCTCTACATTTACTCCCATGATGTGGTTTTAATCTGTTCATCCTCTTGTTTTGTCTTGTCCCCAGGTTAATGTAGGGGAGGGTAACTGGGGAACTCATTGCACTGCCCAGATCGTGGGGAGAAACCAGAGCTGGAGGGATGTGACTGGCCTTGTGACCCTCCACTCAGCGGATGGCCTCCTTTCCCCCTGTGTGTCTCTCTGAGGGTGGGACGAGGGTGGTGGGTGTGGGAGGGTAAACTGGGGATATACATATACCTCTGGGATTAAACGCCTCACTAAATCCAACACACTCTAAAGTGACTTTCGCCAACAGCACCGCAGGAATCTTAGCTAGGTGAGGGCAAAAAAAAAAAAAAAGGGGGGGGGGGGGGTCCGGCTTCGCCCGCCCCCCCCTCCTCGATTTTGATTATTCTGTTAAAATTGCTGACGGCTGGGAGGGAAGGGGTGGGGGTGGGGGAGGGAGGTGGCAGATAGGTACATTAAAAAAAAAAAAAAGGAATTATCTGAACCAGCATAGGGTGCCACAGTCCCAAACACCACAATGCACGAAGTCCGTAGACTCGCACATGTAGACATGTTGAAACGGGCCGAGGGCAGAGGCTAAACACAAACACACGGGACGCTTTTACTGCGTAACGATGCAGGAAACGTGCACAGATTGTTTGCACCTTTAACGGCGAAATTGCATAAACCATTTGGTGTGCGGACACATGGGTCTTTCTCTTTTCACATGTACATTTAGCTGAAATAATTTTCTTCCTCTTACCTCAGTTTCTGAATTGCTCTCGAATCATAGGTGTCTTTTATTTCGACCCCCCCCCCTCATTTGAGGCAAAAATAAAAGATGCAGTAGGTTCGTCCTCTAAGGTTTTACCACCGCAGTACCAAGTTATTGCATGGCATTTGATCACCTCTTAAGTGACGCATGTTTAAGTGAATGTCTGTCTTGTTGCTTACTTTGTTTATGACATTATTGTCGTCGGTATAGGGAGGCTGCCATAATTTGAAGCTGTCAGGTGCTTGGGTTCGTTTGTCCTCCCGTTCGTGCGTATTGTCTGATCAGTGTCCCTTTAGTTTAAAGGAGGCCGTGTGTGTGTGTGTGTGTGTGTGTGTGTGTGTGTGTGTGTGTGTGTGTGTGTGTGTG